ATAGATAGATAGATAGATAGATAGATAGATAGATAGATAGATAGATAGATAGATTCTGCTCCAGATCTGAGGGGGTACCCAAGAGCTTGCCTTTCTAACAAGCTTCCAGCTGCTTTGGCTCCTGCTGGCCCAGGTCATGCCTGGCAGGGCAAGGTATGAACGCAGGGCAGAGTGGGCAGGAGTGAAACTTCGGGGCCAGATCTCCTGGGCCTGCCCCTTGCTAGCTGTGGATGTAAATGAGGATCATTAGTCCTCAGCTCACAGAGCCTTGAGGTGAGGCTTGAGGTATGAGAAAATACACGTGACCTAGGTAGCTGCCACTGAACGTCAGCTATCACTAGAAGGCGATGCCTTTTCAATACATGGAGATGAAAGCGACCACAAGCTAGGTCTGTCCAATTACAAAGGGAACAAAGAAGGATTGGAGGTTTGTCTAAATCCCACCCCTTCATCCTGTCCAAACTTGGAAAAGGATTTATGGGTCATGTGCCCACAAGATAAGCAGAGGCTTCATGAGACAGGAAAAGCAGTGGTTAAGTGGTGAGCAGTAAATCTAGGTAAGGACATAGGAGTGACCGTGGTACTTCTTGCAGTTTTTCTGTGGGTTTCAAATTTTTCCAAATAAAATTGGGGAAGTTTGGAGTTTCAAAAACATCCCCACTGATTTGTACTGAAATAAAGGGGAAACTGAAAAATCATACTGATCTCAGCAGGTTATTTAAAAGCTGGTCTGGGCCTTCAGTTTTTTATCTTGAATAGATCTGTGCAGCCCCTTCAAACAATAGTGTCTGTCGTCTAGGACGCAATGACAGTTGGTGGGAAATGACATGGGGAAGCCACACCCTGAAAGAGGACCACACAGGAGGAATTTCAGGCCCAGAGAGGGAATCAGCTGGCAGTAAATCCAGATGCTAGTCCAGTCCCAGGTCCTATTTCAGCTCACTACCAAATAGAACATTCACATGTTTACAAAGCTATCACACGTTGCTCACGGGATGCACCTAGGAAGCAGTTTCTAAGACATCTGAAGAAGTGCTGCTCCACCTGTGGTAGCCTCGAAGTGAGGACACCCTTGCTTCAGACCACACCCTGGCCTCACACACCCTTCTTTCAAATCACCACAGTGCACAGACACAGTTCAGCCTTTATTTTTGTCAGACCCTGGGTCACTTGGAGCTGGTGTACTTGGTGACAGCCTTGGTGCCCTCGGACACAGCGTGCTTGGCCAGCTCCCCAGGCAGCAGCAGACGCACGGCTGTCTGAACTTCTCGGGATGTCAGGGTGGTCCGGCCCGAGTACTGGGCCAGCCGGGCAGCCTCACATGCCAGCCGCTCAAACACATCGTTTACAAACGAGTTCATGATGCTCATGGCCTTGGCAGAGATGCCGATGTCAGGGTGCACCTGGAGAGAGGGCAGCACCACTCGGTTAATGGAAGGGGCTGGGGGAGGGGGAGTCCTGCCTACACTGCAAGCCTCACCCCTGAGCTGGGGTTCTAGGAAGCCAGAGGCAGAAGGCAGGGAGGCTCCTCACCAGCCCCTTCCCAGAGGCCAACAGTCATGGAAATAGGGATTTGTGTTTTCTTTGTACTACTATGGTATATCCAAGTTTTTTAAAAGAAGTTTTCAACTGCAAGAGGTAACATGATTAAGTTCCTTGTATGATCATGCACAAGAATCTATATTTAACAAATGGAACCAGTTACACATGCATCTTGCTGGTTTCATTGATGCATTTGCATAATGTTCCATGGTATGCATGTATCATACTTCCTATCACCATTCCTCTCTTCATGAACATTCCGGGTTTGGGTTTGGGGTGTTTTTTGTTTTTGCCATTAGATGGTGCCATGGTAAACGTCCATCTTTGAATCTTGTGTGAGCATAGGGAAGGTTATTTCCAGAGGTGGGACTGTGGGGTCAAAAGGTTTGTGCACGTAACTTGGTGGAGCACATAACCAGTAGGCATGTGCATGTGACAGTGGCAGCCCCGAACCAGGAGGGAGGAGTCCTGTTCTGTGGCTGTACTGTGAATTGCTACGACCTCAAATATGGCCCTTTTCTCTGGGCCTCAGTTTCCTCTTCTGTCACACAAGCTTTTGAACTAAGTGATCTCTAGTAAAGCAATGGGACCTGACAGCAGTCCTGAAATGTGAGTAGGTAGACCTGGTCAGATGTGAAGTGGGAGAGAAGTGACTGTCCCACCACCTACATGGAGTCAGAGATGGAGACAGCACTAGAACCAACAGGCTCTGTCCCACCCACCCTCCCTGCCACCTCTGATCTCGACTGCCAGCAGCAAATCTGCGCCTGGCACAAGGCTGGTTCTGCCCAAACCCACTCTGCTGTCAGCACACCCCATTCTCCTTAGGGCTCTCACTCACATCGGGAGGTCGAGGGGTTATCCCTCAGCAGCACTCTCCTCTGCGGGTCCCGGCCTGGTCTCACCCATCAGTTGCAATTTGTGCCCCTCACAGTCAGACTAGGACTGAGACACACTAGCACTGAGACACAGGACTCAGTGATACCCACTCCTACCCTACTTTCTTCAGGACACCGGAGTCTGTCCTCTGGTGCATCTCTTCAGCCAACCCATATCAGTGCTGGACCCACCCACCCCCAACCCTACAAGAGCATTCCCAGGCACCCAGGTTGTCAATTCACTAAAACTGCTAATGGGATTTGGACTGGAGACAGGCATTACCTCTGGGGCCTGCCCTAACAGAGGGGTAAGAGTTTCAAGCAGGTTGGAGACCCAGGGCGGGCAACACATGGCTACCCCCGCTTCCTCCTGGCCTTGGCCCTGCTGAGCAGTGGCCTTGGATCCTCCAGACAAACTGATTGTCAGTGTTCCAAGTGGCTTTTCATGCATGAATATAGGGCACCTGCAGCCCCAGTGTGTTGGGGAGAGGGACACACAGGAAGGATGCTAGAGGCTTGCCCAAAGCCAGGGGAGCTGGGACACTGCCACTGTCAGGCCACATGATGCAGGAACCCCATGGAGCCTTTAGGGGCCTCAAGCTCTTTTGTCTGTAATGTGGACAAACCCTAAGCCCCTCAAAGAACTGAGTGCCACTTGTCCAGAAGACCTTCCCCAAGACTCCAGTTCACCCTGAACACTCCTCTCCTCAGTCACCACCAACGCACTTTGTATCATAATGTGTTTGGCACCCGATCACCTTCAGCCTGGCACAGAAAGTGTGATCCTCTTGTCTTTTAATTATGTCCCACCTGGGCCGGGTGCGGTGGCTCAGGCCTGTAATCCCAACACTTTGGGAGGCCAAGGCAGGTGGATCACAAGGTCAGGAGGTCAAGACCATCCTGCCTAACACGACGAAACCCCGTCTCTACTAAAAATACAAAAAATTAGCCGGGCGTGCTGGCGGGCGCCTGTAGTCCCAGCTACTCGGGAGGCTGAGGCAGGAGAATGGCGTGAACCTGGGAGGTGGAGGTTGCAGTGAGCTGAGATCGTGCCACTGCACTCCAGCCTGGGCGACAGAGCGAGATTCCGTCTCAAAAAAAAAAAAAAAATTATGTCCCACCTAATCATATTATCTCATCATCATTCCCGTAAACTTCTGGAGTGTGTCAGGGAGCACACTGTCTCCTATCCCGGTGCCGAAGATCCTTGGAAATCAGGTCCTGCCACCTCAAGAGGGGCCCAGCCTGCCTGAGCCACTTACCCCAATGCCAACACTAACCTCAGGGTCCCCGCTTCCAGCCAGTTCCCTTTCAAGGCGCTTTGCAAGGGCATCCCACACACACATCCTTGCTCTGCACTCACCTGCTTCAGCACCTTGTAGATATACATGGAGTAGGATTCCTTGCGCCGACAGCGCTTTTTGGACTTTTTGTTCCCAGAACTGCGACCCCCACGGCCCCCGGGCTGCTGCCGCTGTCCATACTCAGCGCTCATCCTCCTGCTCCTCGAATAGCCCCCGCCCACCCCCTCGGAGCTACTTTTTATCAAGTCAGCTGCCCCACCAGGTGTGGCTGGGGACATGCACCTGGGAGAGTGGGGGGGTGGGAGGTAAGGGGCGTGACTCAATCGCAATCCAGAGCATGCTCTGGGCTAACCTTGAAGAGAGACTAATTGTTCCTTCCTCTCCGGAAAGTAATCCCTCCGAATTAAGAAATGCTTCACCAGGTCCCCTCCCCCACCCATCTCCCAGTGTATTTACGCACTTGTTAAAAGTTCAGGCCAACTCCAGCCCACCAGCCTGTAATCACGGAGCACACAGGTGCCAGCACAGCTCAGAGTGCTGGGGACTCCAGAAGGAATGCAGGTTCCCTCCCCCACTGGGCCCCAGTGGAGCTGAAGAGACAAGACTGGTTCACATCAAACCACCAGAGAAGGGTGAAGGGGCTAAAAGTGGTGGTACCCATGGTGAGGAGGGCTTGAGTAGCTACAGGCCGCTTATTGGCACAAATGGGATGTGCCTTTGTAGGCATTGTAGGATGTATCTTTGTAGGATGTATTCTTTAATTGGGAAGAATGAGAGAAAGAAATGGTGTGAAAGGTAGAGTGGAATCAGTGTGAGCAGAGTATAACAAGGCTTGGACTGAAGGCAGATGATTAGCAAAATGCCTGAGCCTGGACTAGATGCAGAGAGCAGAAGCCCCCCAGGTGGTGAAGGGGCTGACAGGGAGGAAGACCACTGGAGGCGGCGAGAAGCAGAAAAACAATAGGTGCTCACCAGAAAAGCAGACGTGGGGGTCTTGGGAGTTAGCAGTAAAGAAAAGGCCATTGCAAAATGGAGAAAGTCAATTGTCTCACTTAGCACCTATGGGGGAACAAATATTTCAGGCCCTTGAATGCTATGATTAAAGAAACCTGGAGCAATATGAAACATATTGGGGCATGGGCAGAAAGAGGATGTTTCAAATCAAGAGGCGGGGGAAGGGTTCCAAACACCAGCATCACCTGTTGGCTGTGTTAACGCAAGCAACCCCTCCATCAACTTCCCTCTCCACCCCGCTCTGAATGGCAGGTCACATCCTACGTGCTAAGGCTTAAGAGAACTATTGGCATTTCTCAATCCAAAACAAGGCACTGCTAATTTTAGAAATATGTATTTTGTGGACTTTTAAAGCATTCTTTAAATTACCAAGGTTGACATTTTTCTCGACAAGTAAGCTGACTAGACTATTTCCATTCCTCTAGGTTCCGAAGACCTCCTGTCCTAGCATGGAGACCAGAGATCCCAAGACTACCTAGATTCTTAGCAATATCCAGCACTTCCTTGGCTGAAGTAGCAGGGACTCTGTCCCTCCCTGTTCCCATTACCCCAGCAGCCCACTCTCCAGATGCCATTCTCCCCTGAACCAAGGCTCTGGACACTCAGGACTAACTTGGGCCATTTTGCTCCAGGTCCCACTTAAGGCATAAAGCAGTCAAGCCAGTACTCTCTGGGGTCAGTGGGTAGAGGACTCCCGTCTGTCTCTGCTGCAGTGTCTCACGGGAGGCTCTTGTCCCTGTTGCCCAGGGCGGTTCCTGGACTTGTGGCCATCTGAGAAGGCCCTACTCATTTTCCAAGTGAGAGCACACCAATTCCATCTCTCTGGGCAGCTACTCACAAGAAATTTCCCTCCTTTTTGAATACTTCTGTCTCCTATCTAAATCAGAATTTAGCATCTAATTTGTGTCCTGTATGGTTCTGTCTTACTGGCTTTCCAACAAGATCATGAGCTCCTAAGGGGTTTAAACACCGTCTGGGACAGTTGCTCCCGCCAGTCCTGGCTGTATGATAATGAGCACTGAAAAACCATGGCTGTGTCTTCCCATAGGGATGGCTACTGATTTCAGAGGCAGAGTGATGAATCCATACCAGGAAGGATGGCCACTGGTGAGGTGCTACTGAAGTTCAAAAGACCCAGACGAGGTATGCAGAGCCCTGGGCTAGAAGTGAATTCAATAGTGATGATGAAAACTATGGCTGTGGACAGGTAAAAATACAAACTTTCCTGTATCTCAATAGGAAGAGAGGTTCACAGACGTTGGTGTGAAAATGCAAACTCCTGGCCATCTCTGCACTTCTCTCATTCTACCAAACGTGATTAATCAATAGGTCTGATGCTCAGCAATCTTTATTTTTTGAGACAGTGTCTCGGTCTGTCCTCAGGCTGGAGTGTAGTGGCACGTTCTCTGCTCACTGCAGCCTCAACCTCCTGGGCTCAAGTGAGCCTCCTCTTTCCAGAGCAGCTGGGACCACAGGCACATGGTACCATGCCTGGTTCGTTTTATTATTATTTGTAGAGATGGGGTCTCCCTACTTTGCCCAGGCTGGTCTTGAACTTCTGGGCTCAATTGATCCCCCTACATTGGCCTCCCAAGGTGATAAGCTTACAGTCGGAATACAGGTGTCAGCCACTGTGCCTGGCCAGTCTGCATTTTTTTGAGACAGGGTTTTGCTCTGTCACCCAGGCTGGAATGCAGGGGTGCAATCTCAGCTCACTGCAACCTCCGCCTCCCGGGCTCAAGCAATCCATCCACCCCAGCCACCTGAGCAGGTGGGATTCCAGGCGTGTAAAGATGGGTTTTGTCATGTTTCCCAGACTGGTCCTGAACTCCTGAGCTCAAGTGATCCACCTGCCTCAGCCTCCGAAGCGCTGGAATTACAGGTGTGAGCCACTGCACCTGGCCTGCATTTTTAACAAGCAGCCCAACTTCTATGCAGTTGGGGCAGAACCTCAGATCACAATCGGAAAACCACACTCCTGGATAGTGGTTCTCCAAATATAGCCCCTGGACCAGCAACAACAGCATCACTTGGAAACTTGTTAGAAATGTTCACGTTCTTGGTCTCCCCCAAAACCTACTGAACCAGAAACCCTGAGGCGAGATCTGGCAATCTGATCTCATGAGTGCTCCAGGTGATTCTGATTCATGTTAAAGTCTGTGAATCACAGGCCTGAGAAAAGGTACAATTTCAAATCCGCAGTAAAGGGAGAACGTTCTTCGAGCTCCTACGGACTAGTCTTCAGTTCCCATCCACACACTGACGCTGGCTCCAGCTCCTGCTGAGGGCAGTGCATGTTGGCACTGCAGGGAGGAGAAGGCCCCAGAGACCCGAGAAGGAAGGTAGGGACCGTGGCTTCCTCTTTCTTTATTGGGCGCTTTGTAGATGTCACGCAGGTCTAAAAGTTACACTGTTAAATAATTATTTAAAAACTGACCAGAACGAAGGTCCTGGTCCAGAGCTCCAAACCAGAAGCAAAAAGGAATCGGGGCGGTGGGCTGGGGGTACTCCTCCAATATCACCAAAACCCAGAAAACGAGGATCCTAAGCTCCTCCGCGGGCCAAATCCAGGGCTTGGGCCCTTTGGCTAACCCGCTGGTGCCTCTGACTGCATCACACTCAGAGTAAGTAACCAGCAAGGGGCTGGAGGGAACGGCCAGCCGAGTCCAGACATGGACAGATGTAACTGGAAGGAGGACAGGAAACAGACAGGTACTGTCCAGCTGTAGATAAGAGAGTGCAGCTAAGGCAGGTTGAGGGGCAGGGGAGAGGCTGGGGGAGCAGTATTGCAGCAATGCAGGAGTGTAGCCCCAGGGTCCTGTCCTGAGCGGCTGGTCAGGGTAGCAGCTGTTAGTTCCCAGATGGAGCTCCTGACCCGAGCCCAGGTAGAGGGCTCACACGTTGTGGGTCCTCTTGGTGAGCTGGGGCTCCTCATCCACCAGCTTGGACTTGAGGTGCTCCTTGTAAGCCAGGATGTCTCCAGGCCACTTGGTGATTGTCTGCTTCTCACAGACCCAAATTTCCTGTGCAACCTAGAGAGCAAAAACTAGACTTAATCCTGGGCTAGTCACTGTCCCCGCCTCTGCCCAGCAGACTATCCTGAGGGGCATCTAGGAAGAAAACTCCACCCTCCAAACCCATATCCAACTCACTGTCTCACTACTTCTAAGTTATTTGGGATGTTCTCACCCAAGGGTACCATAATCAGGTTTGGAGCCTTCCAAGCCAGGAACTGCTGTGTCACTCCTATTGTCAGCTCCCTGGCAGGGCCTAGATCTATTCAGAGGCTTCACTCTCAGCCTTCTTTTCTCCACCTCCCATCTTCTCCAGAGCTTCAGAGGAATGAGCAACAACTTCTTCTCCAATGACTGAGGTAGTTCTCTGTCTAATCAAAATCCTTCTTAGAATACTATTTTTGGACTGAAGAATCTTGGGACAGTAGTAAAAGCACCTGGTTTTCTACCCAACTCTCTTTCCCATCTGGGCCCAAAATGCTAAGTTGGTTGACATCTCCAGATAGCTACTGAAGAAATGAAGTGTTTCAGTTAAGGCATTCTAAGTAGCCCCAAAGAGGCATAAGAACCGGTCCTCACTACTTGTGTCTACGCTCCGAGCCCTTCTCTTAATTAAGTAGGTGGGTATTATGCATCCTCCACATGCCATGACTACCCTACCCAACCCTCTAGAAGCTCTCTGCTGTGCCTCACCCCCTGGCCAGGGCCTCACCTGCTGAATGAGTCTGAAGTCATGGCTGACCAGCATCATACCACCCTCAAACTCATTGATGGCATCTGCCAGGGCGTCGATGGTCTCGATATCCAGGTGATTGGTGGGTTCGTCCAGGAAGAGCATGTGGGGGTTCTGCCAGGCCAGCCAGGCCAGACACACTCGGCACTTCTGCCCATCTGACAAGTTCCGGATTGGGCTTACCTGAATAGAACCATGACCTACATATAACTTGGCATTATCCCACCAACCAGCACAGCTCATCTCTCACTCATTTCTCCCTGACTCCTCCATTAGCATCGCCATTTTACAAAAAGTGAGGCTCAGAGAGACCCACTAGTCTCTTGAGGCCTGAAAGAGACTTGTCCGGAAACCTGAAGCCCTTGCCATTACTAAGCCCATATCTCTTGCTCTCTTGACAATTAAATCTTAATGAACTGGATCCTTCCAAATCTGAATCCAGAAATTTGTTTTCTAGACTACAAGTTCCTTTGCCCTCAAGCACTATGGCACAAGGGCATGTCAGAGACTGTCACGCTATCCTTGCTCCCTTAAAATGCTCCATTACATAACAACCTAGAGTAAAGAAAAGGTAGTAGGTTCTCAGGGGAATCAAATGGCGGAGACTCTGGTTTGGACAGCTTCCAAACCTAGCCTGGCAGGACAGTGTCCCTTGACCCACCCAGTCACAGTCTCCCAGCTATTTGGCACCCTCACCACACCCTCCTTTACTGACCTGTTGTTTCCCAGTAAGACCGTATCGCCCAATGATCTTCCTCATTTCTTCCTTCTCCTTGATCTCTGGGTAGCACTTCATCATGTACTCCAAAGGCGAGAGATCTAAGTCCAGCTGCTCTTGTAAATGCTACAGGAAAAATGGAAGCCACCCGGGTGTGACTGGCATCCCGCTTCAAAAAGAACCCTACTAGGTAACTTCCTATTTCTATCACAGGCACGTGTTCTGGGTTCAAGAAGCAGGTAGGAGCCACCTAGGCTGGAATTCCTGCCAGGGGGTGGGGGCGGCTGGCTGGAACTCGGCCAGATACAGCCCTTTCCTACGCCCTGGGCAATTCCCCGGATCCCAACCCCAGGCCTGTACCTGATGGTAACGCCCTATCTTGACATGAGAGTGTTTTCGGATCATGCCATCTGTGGGTAGTAACTAGGAAGAAAAAAGTAGAAACGTTAAACATGAAACAAAGGAAGCCCAGTTAGAGACACAGGCAGAGCAGACAAACACACACATGTTCACACTGAACAAGACTCAACTTCCTAAAAAGAATACATCACCAACTCACACACTGCTATTCTGGCCACTCTAAAAATATTTAGGAAGATGTACTGAAGCAGATGTTCTCAAGAGGCAAAGATACAATTTAAGTAGTTATGAAACGTCTACTGCAGAATGCACTATGCTGTATAACAAAGGGCTTGGATGTAGGTGTAACATACATTTTCTAAAATTAAAAACAGTTAAGTCCTCAAAGTTGTCACTGTCATCGATAGGTTCTTAGACACAGAACCTATTTTAAAGTTTCATTTTAAGTGAAACAACATATAACAAAACTAATTTTGCCACAGGCTAACTGATATAAAAATTAGGTTCCTGCAGCATTTTTGGTCACAAAAAAAGATCACCAAACTTCTAAATAAAGATCCAAAGATTCTTTTTTTTAAGAGGGAGTCTCACTCTGTCACCCAGGCTGGAGTGTAGTGGCGCGATCTCAGCTCACTGCAACCTCTCTGTCCCAGGCTCAAAAGGTTCTGGAGTAACTGGGATTACAGACACCTGCCACCATGCCTGGCTAATTTTTTTGCATTTTTAGTAAAGATGGGGTTTCACCATGTTGGCCAGGCTGGTCTCAAACTCCTGATCTCAAGTGATCTGCCTGCCTCGGCCTCCCAAAGCACTGGGATTATAGGTGTGAGCCACGGCGCCTGGCCAAAAGACCCAGTCACTTCTAATATTCAACATTAAAATACATGTGAGCTATACATACACTTAAGAAAGATTAATAGAAATAAGGTAAGTTATTTACCCAATTTTTGGTGAATCAGTGAGTGATGGCAATTGTAAGAGTGGTGGGTTAAACCAAGGAATAAATGTTTGCAAAGGGAAAATCGTAAGGAGCACCTCCTATCACCACACAGTTCAAAACTAATCACGAATGTGGCTGGTTTGCTGAGTGCATTTGTATGATTATCATAAACTTTATGAATTTTTCTTTTACAGTAATTTATACTCATTCATGCTATCATTTTCCAACCTGCTTATTCAAGTTTAGGATCATGGGCAGCCGGAGCCCATCCCACAATCCGGGGAACAAGGCAAGAACCAGCCCTGAAGAGGACGCCATTCCATTATAGGGTGCGCTCACACCCCCCCACACTCATTCAGACTGGAACCACTGAGACATGCCAAGTAACCTGACAGGCGCAGCTTTGGGATGCGGGAAGAAACTGAAGTACTGGGGAAAACCCATGTAGACGTTAAGGGGAAAGTGCAAACTCCACAAAGACAGTGGTCCCAGCTGGGAATCATTTCTATTTTTCATCAATATTAATGAAATGACATTACTTGAGAATCTGCAGCATCCCTAAACGCACAGATGTTCCTGTATTCTAAATGCTCTGATTGAAAATAGAAACACGGGCCAGGCATGGTGGTTCACACCTGAAATCCTAGCACTTTGGGAGGCCAAGGCAGGCAGATCATGAGGTCAGGAGTTCAAGACCAGCCTGACGAACATGGTGAAACCTCATCTCTACTAAAATACAAAAAAATTAGCTGTGGTGCGTGCCTGTAATCTCAGCTACTTGGGAGGCTAAGGCAGGAGAATTGCTTGAACCGGGGGGATGGGGGTTGCAGTGAGCTCAGATGGCACCATTGCACTCTAGCCTGGGCAAAAGTGAGACTCCGTCTCCAAAAAAAAAAAAAAAAAAATAGAAATGTGCTCAAATACATACCTGTATTCACACACACACACTATAAAAGACTCCTCCCTACATCCCTGTCCCAGGAAAACAGCCCCCAGCCTCAGCACTGTCCAACCAGACATTCCCCCTCTCCTGTCTGCTGCCCCGCCCCTCCAGATGGCTCACTCACCACCAGGCTACTCAGGCCCTCCCAAAGTAGTAGCCGCTGCATCACTTCCCTCTTCCTTAGCCATCGCAAGGCCTAATCTTAGAAGGATCCACGCCCACCTTGGCACTGTACCTCTCCAGTTAGCAGCTTCAGAAGAGTTGACTTCCCTGCTCCATTGGGCCCTACCAGAGCCACTCGTGTGTCAAGGTCAATTCCAAATTCTAGATTATTGTAGATGCAAGGCTGAGGTGGGGATGAGAGAGATATGGACACAAGGCTAGAGTACGAATCTGCTCTGACCAGCAGACCAAGCCCACTGACTCCCCAGTCACCAAGAGAGGAGGAAGGAAGAGTAGTGGGAGGAAGCACTCATAGTAGACCCCGCCTCCCCTACTGACCCCGCCCACCAACCCAGCTGAGTAGTCTTCTTTCCATATATACGAAGAAGGGCCTGTGAGCAGCCTTGGATGAAGGCATCCCAGCTGCCACACCTGAAAATCCCCCAGAGCTTGTGGGCTAGCAGGTGTGGTCAGCACAGGACAGGAGCGGCTCCCATGAGCTGCCACTCACCCTGTAAGATACACCCCAGCCACCCACGCCCTGCCCTGAACTTACCCCATCTTTTGTATACTTGAAGCTCACATTTTGCACCATAATGACAGGTGGAGGGATCTTGCCACATGGTGGGAAATAAAATGACAGTGTCTAGGCAGAAAAGAGGGCATGTATCAAGTTGGCTCCCTTCTTATCCATCTCACCTTAGGTCACCCAACCCCACCCAATCACACCCCACCTTATCGCTCACGACCCTCTCTGTCAGTCCTGATGCCATCATTTTCTGTAGCGTCTTCTCCTTGCTCTGGGCCTGCCGGGCCAGCTTGGCACTGCCATGACCAAACCTCGCAATGTAGTTCTAAAAGAGACCAAAGGGAGCTTGGAGTACATGCAGGCGCTCAACAATTCATCTTCAATCCAGGGCAAAAATGGTGATCGTAACTCCTTCCCAACCTCCTCCATCACCCCAATTTGTCCCAATGCCCTCATCCAAGCCCCCTGCTTGTTTTGGACAGGAAGCCATGAGCCTGACTCTGCAGTCTCCCTACCTTCATGTGTGCAATCTGATCTTGCTCCCAGTGAAACCTCTTCATCTGGTTCTCCTCCAGCTCTAGCCGCGTCTTCACATACTGATCATAATTACCCTGCGTGGAAATGTGCCAGGTAAGGCGGGCAGCTTTAACCTGGGTTTCAATCCTGGATTCTCATTCAGAGTTTAGGGGGATGAGGGATGGCACTGACTTGGCCCTGGCTCTAAGGCTGTGCAGTAAGAACAGAGGAAGTGCATTACAGAAGCATATCCTAACCTCAAATCAGAGTCTTTTCAATTCTATGCCCCTTGCTCAGCGCAGCCAGGGTCAGGCTCCAGTGCAAATCCTTAGGTTAGCCAGAAAGACACCTGTGGCAATGGGAGTAGCCCTGAAAATCATGGTCATAGAAACGTCATGAGACTGAGAGCCTTCCAATACCACCTCCCATTCCTCTCCCAGCCCCTAGAGGCTGAAGCCCCACAAAAGACAAGAGCTGTCTCCAGATAGGAAAACAGACCAGTCAGATTTAGAAGCTGACAAACCCTGCATAAGTGGACTACCATGGCTTCTATCTGCAAACAAAAACTGGACTCAAGCTAAATATCCATCAGAAAGGGCCTAACACGTTACAGGATAAACACATAACAAAATTCTGTGCAGTCACTGAAGATTGTGGTTGATTTATATATACTCACATGGAAAGCAGTCCAAAATATACTAAATTTAAAAAGCAACCTACAGAATGATTATTAAAATTGTAACTGTGGCCAGTTGCAGTGGCTCACGCCTGTAATCCCAACACTTTGGGAGGCTGAGGTGGGTGGATCACTTGAGGCCAGGAGTTTGGGAGCAGCCTGGTCAACATGGCAAAACCCCGTCTCTACTAAAAATATAAAAATTAGCCAGGTATGGTGGCATGTGCCTGTGGTCCCAGCTACCTACGAGGCTGAGGTGGGAGGATTACTTGAACCTGAGAGGCAGAGGTTGCAGTGAGCCAATATCACGCCACTGGACTCCAGCCTGGGAGACAAAGACAGACGCCATCTCAGGAAAAAAGAGGCCAGGCGTGGTGGCTCACGCCTCTAATCTCAGCACTTTGGGAGGCTGAGGCAGGCGGATCATGAGGTCAAGAGAGCAAGACCATCCTGGCCAATATGGTGAAACCCCGTCTCTACTAAAAATACAAAAATTAGCTGGGCATGGGGGCGCGCACCTGTAGTCCCAGCTACTCAGGAGGCCGAGGCAGGAGAATCCCTTGAACCTGGGAGGCAGAGGTTGCAGTGAGCCCAGATTGCTCCACTGCACTCCAGCCTGGCAACGGAACAAGACTCGGTCTCAAGAAAACCAAAAAAAAAAAAAAAAATGCTGCAATTGTATAAAAAGATATGTATATATGAAATTTTCTACAAATGCATGCAAGTATACATGAAGTGTCTGAAAGGCTATGTTAAAAACTAATACTCCTATGACTATGAATGAAGAGGACATCAATTGTTAATTTCTTATATGCTTTTTGAAATATAAAATGAAAAGGCAAGGCACAACAGTGGGCTGTTGAGATCCTGATCCCCATTCTCCTGTGGTCATGGAAGATGGGGTAAATGTGTTAACTCCAGCGAAGCAGAGTTAAGACGGCATTCAAGAAGGCAGAGGGAGGCCTGGTACGGTGGGTCATGCCTGTTTTTCCAGCACTTTGGGAGGCCGAGGTGGGCAGATCACCTGAGTCAGGAGTTTAAGACCAGCCTGGCCAATATGGCAAAACCCTGTCTCTACTAAAAATACAAAAACTAGCCAGGCGTGGGGGCGCGTGCCTGTAGTCCCAGCTACTCGGAAGACTGAGGTACAAGAATCACTTGGATTCAGGAGGTAGAGGTTGCAGTGAGCTGAGATCGTGCCAGCCTGGGTGACGGAATGAGATTCTGTCTCCAGAAACAACAGGCAAGGCAGATGGCAGCAGGGCCTGCCTGGGCACCATGAAAAGTCAACTTCTTTGCCACAAGGCAAACATACACCATGTGCACAGGCTGCCAATCCATGGCCTATGGCCTGGAAGCAATGACTTTGGGATTAAAATAAAAAAGGTGGCAGGACTCCTTGTCCATATCCTTTTCTTTTTTTGCGACGGAGTCTTGCTCTGTCGCCCAGGCTGAAGTACAGTGGCACGATCTCGGCTCACTGCAAGTTCTGCCTCCTGCATTCACGCCATTCTCCTCCTCAGCCTCCCAAGTAGCTGGGACTACAGGCGCCGCCACCACACCCGGCTAGTTTTTTGTATTTTTAGTAGAGACGAGTTTTCACCATGTTAACCAGGATGGTCTCGATCTCCTGACCTCATGATCCACCCGCCTCGGCCTCCCAAAGTGCTGGGATTACAGGTGTGAGCCACTGCGCCCTGCCGTCCGTATCTTTTTATAGCAATAGGTAGAAAGGAGCTAATAGATAGGTCTGGTTTTTTTGTTTTTTTTTTTGAGATGAGTCTTGCTCTGTCACCCAGGCTGGAGTGCAGTGGCGTCATCTCAGCTCATTGCAACCTCCACCTCCAGGGTTCAAGTGATTCTCCTGCCTCAGCTTCCCAAGTAGCTGGGACTACAGGCACCTACCACTACACCTGGCTAATTTTTTTGTATTTTTAGTAGAGATAGGGTTTCACCATGTTGGCCAGGCTAGTCTCAAACTCCTGACCTCAAGTGACCCACCCACCTCAGCCTCCCAAAGTGCTGGGATTATAGGCATGAGTCACCACACTGGCATTCTTATTTTTTTTTTTCAAAGAGAATTTCAGAGATTTGGTAAGCAGAGATTACCAGAAAGAAGCCGAGGCCCACTCACCGTATAATACTTCAGTTTCTTGTTGTGCATGTGAATGATGTTGGTACAGACACCATTCAGAAAATCCTGGGAATGGGAGACGAGGACCAAGATGCGCTTAAAACTGCAAAGCCAAAGAACCAATCAGTGAAGAGCTCAACCATGGGAGCTAGCTGACAACAGGTGAACTGAGAGTCAGGCCCATCCTTATTCCTAAGCACCTTTTAGATGTGTTGTCCAATTCCTGGTTGTCAGCAAGCACCTTAGCCACCACTTAACAATCTAACTCTAAGGGACATCTTTCAGCGTGGCGAGACAGCCTGAGTTTCCTCAATCTTCTGTTCTAATTTTCAACAGAATGGAGTGGAGACAGTAGTCACAGTGATAGTAAACAGAAATGTGTATGTACACAAATACACCCACGAATGTATCCAAAACTGTGGGTGGGAAGACACAATAAAAAACAAAATGCTTTACTTTTTGAAAGAAGGTACTAAGTCACTGTACCACTAAAAGCCTTCTTTTAAAATTGGTACAGTATTCCAGCTTATTCAGTTATTTAGCTGTAGGACCACGACCATATTGGCTATATTTTCCTTTGTCATTGCTTCATGATCTTAAATGGAAGACCTCCTTTTTCTGCTTTATACAATTAAGAAAAAAAAAGGTCTTTAATTAAGATCTTGAATTTGAAATATGGAAAAAATCAACAAGGATTTTTTTTTTTTTTAATGCTCATAAATTTCAAACTAAAGAAAAACAAACAAAATGGCCAGCCCTAAACAGCCCTAAAGGTGCTCACTGCTTGTCCGAGCAAGTGAACTCCGGCCTTCCTTCAGTTCCTTTCTCACCGCTCTAACAGCAGTGCAGTTTCTAGGCATCCATTTTCTAGATTCCCCGCTTTGGGACCGGCCCACTCACATCCCCCATTCCACCCTCTTACGTTTTTAGTTCTTCTTCCAACCACACACAAGCATCTAGGTCCAGGTGGTTGGTGGGCTCATCCAGGAGCAGCATGAAGGGCCGAATAAAGAGGGCTCTGAAGGACAGTAAAGGAGACAGAAGCACCTCAGAATTATAATGGATGTGACACAGGAGGGACCAACTTGCCTGCTACATGCAATTCTGAGTAGGCTCCTGGCTTGAGTCTTGAAATCAATTTTAGGCTCTATACTTCAGAGGGAAAAGAAGTAGGACACAAACAACGGTCAAAGAGGAGAGACTGAAGAGTAGAATACGGGACTCAGAAGCACATAAGGACAGTTTGAGGCAAGGCTGTAGAAGTCTCTATGAGTTGATAAGCCTTGTGCACTGAAGCTGGATACTATAGAGACGACAAAAAGATACAGAGGAAATAAACTGCTAAAACAAATTAGACCTATCTGAAGGTCTGATGATAGACCTATCTGGTGGGGTGGCCAGAGTCTAGCAAGGGATAGACTCTAAAACTCTGGTTCCTCTAAAGTTCTGGTTCCCAAACCAGAAATCTGTGTTTTTAAAAGCTCCTTGGGTGAACCAGAGACAGCTAATCCTTGCTAGCATGTGGAGCCACTGTGCTCATGTTCTAAGGCACACGCAGGCAACTTTCTAGAGCAGTATATCAAGTCTTATAAATTCCCTTCACAGAGAATGATGGGGCAAGGAATTACCTGTTTAGTGACTCGGGGGGGATTATTGGGGGAATGCTCGTCTATAGAAGCTCACTTTGAGTCTGGGCCACAACAGAGTAAGAATGATGGCTATCATAATCGCCGTCTAACATTTTATCTTTACAGCCAAAATTAGCAGGAGTACAGCACAAAAAAGGTGGAAAGGGAATCCTGGTGGGAGGACAGAAACAGACCTACTCTACCGTTTTACCTAGGACTACCCCTAGGATCTCTAAACTCTGTGCTGGGTGCTGGGAATCCAACAGAAAACTGAGTCACTCTACCACTTCAGCCAGGAAGCTCTCTCTCTAACCCATATACAACAACCCCCTCTACACTGCAGATGTCCATGTCTCGTTTGACACTTACCGATGACTCCTGTTCCAAACAGTTCCACTGGAGTGATGGGGGAGTTACGGCGGTAAGGAAGGAGGGAGGGACTCACCTGGCAAGGGCAACCCTCATCCTCCAGCCCCCACTGAAGTCTTTCAGCTTCTTGCGCTGCATGGCAGGTGTGAAACCCAGTCCATGTAAGATCCGCGAGGCCCTCATCTCTGCCTTGTCAGCATCCAGCTCCTCTAGGCGCTCGTAGAGCTCCATGAGTTTCTCACACTCCGCTGTGGACAGTGTATGGCCATGAGGCTCCTGGGGGCCTTTCTGGGAGGACGCCCACCCCCATGCCCAGGTCTGGAGCCCTACCATCCTCATGAGCCAGCCGCTCTGCCTCCCTCTCCAGCATGGCCCGCTCTGTGTCAACTTCCATCACACACTGCAAGGGTGTCTTGTCACTAGGAGGCATCTCTCGAGTCAGATGGTAGATGTCAATGTGCTCGGGGATGGGCACTTCACGTTTCCCAATAGCGGAGAGCAGCATAGACTTTCCTGAGATGGGAGAGAAGCAGACGCTTGGTACACTGAGCTTCCCCTATTCCTCTTCACCACTAGCTCTTCCACCCCAGCCAAACTGGGACCTCATCCAATTTTTTTTTTTTTTGGAGGACCTTTCTTCCCTTTATTCATTCAAACCTTGCCAGCCCCCATTCTTGGGATTCCTTTCCAACTTTCCTCCAATTCTTGCCGCACCCCTTCTCTGAAGCTTTTTTCATTTACCACAGCTTCACACGCCCCTGACCAACTTCTCCAGCACCTGCTGTCTGTAACTACTCATGTGGTACAGGGTGGATGCACCCTAATCCGAAAATCCAAAATGCTCCAAAATCCAAAACCTTTTCAGAGCTGACATGACGCTTAAAGGAAATGCTCATGGGAGGATTTCAGGTTTTTGGATTAGGGATGCTCAGCCGGTAAGTATAATGCAAATATTCCAAGATCCGAAACACTTCTGGTTCCAAGCATTTCAGATAAGGGATACTCAACCTGTACATACCACATACTGCTCTGCACTGCTAGTTCCTTTCCCCTGGACGTATCTGGTCTCCCACCCACATTCTAAACGCTTTGCTGTTAACATAGTTGGTGCTAAATAAATACTTGTGAGTGACAGATGAGCCAAGGAGAGGTACCTCCCACTTCCCCTTCCAAGGGCCTCACCAATTCCATTTAAACCAATGAGGCCATAACGACGGCCTGAGTTTAATTCCAGTTTGGTGTCACTGAGCAGCTCTTGACCATGAAAGGTGAGTGAGAGGTTGATAATGTGAACATCTGTACTGTTGGGGTGAGAGGCCAGGACGCCAGTGACAGCTCGAGCAGCAGCTTTCTTCATCTCAAAGTCCTCTAGCTCCTTGGTCAGCAAATCTATTTCTGGGGATAGAAAAGCAGTTTGGGAAGATAGCTGTGAGACAGACTCAGCTCTCCACAAAGAGGAACATCCTGAAGGACTGGGTTCCGATCCTGCTGAGCAGACTCAGATGTTTCCCAAGCTTTACAGAGTGCACACTGACACAGAGCTGCCCTGACACCCTGCTCGTTTTGACACCCGTCCTTTTAATTATAATCTCTCTTGTCCTTGTTTTGTCCCTTCATATCTGTTTACTTACTCCCATCATTCATAACTTCTGTCCTCCACTACTGTGGCCAGGAATAAAACTTCCCCACAGCCTGACTTTATTGCTCTTTCTAATCGCTTTCTAACTCCCCCTTTTCTGAATGCCTGTTACAATTTGCAAAACTAATTCTCCTTTCCTCTTCAAACATTTACTTAGTGTCTATCTGAGAAGTTCATAAAAAAACCCAAGACCTAGTCCTTGCACTCAAAGATGACACAATTTAGACAAAGAAACAGGAGATACAACATAAAAAGGTAAGTAACACTAAAAGCAAGCAAAAGCATATAGAGAATGGAAATATTGAGGTCAGGTTTGACTGAGAGACGCTTCACTATCCTGAGCTAGGCCTTGACAGAAATGTCAAATGTAGCTAGCAAAAACATGATGGTATTAGAATTCAGTGTGTGAAAGAACAGAGATGTGGTGACTATTCAAGGGATAATAAATAGTCTGGATGGAGCAGAACGCTGTTTAGGGAGTTTTCAGGGGGCAGGAAAGAGGGCTGGGATTGGACTGCCAAGGGCCTGGAATAGTCTTTACAGCATATTGCCATGTTTCCCCGTCTAGACGGTAAGTTTTTGGAAGGAAGACTGTAGTGCCTCAGTGTATAGCACCATGTCTAGCACTTGAGAAATAATAAATATTTCCCAAAATATAAATAACAGAAAGGGAGCTCTCTCCCAGGAAAAACCCCATGAAATAACCCATAAGTTACTCTCTTGTAGGGAGAGCCACTACCCTGTGAGGACAAGTGTATAATGTAGCACAGAACCTGGCACATTGGCCACCATGCATAGAAATGGAAACTGAGAAAGCGGCAGGGAACCGAGCCCCTCCTCACAGTCTAATAGAGCAGCAAGACAGCTCAGCAACTCCCACTTCTGCATGCCACTGAGTATGTGAGAACCTTGTCTTCGGCTTCCTCGCTCAATGATAGGATGACACAAATTCCAACTCTACTGATTTGATTCATCATGAAAAGTTGCATGACACCAGATACATTCTCCACTGCCCCCAGCATCAAGATTCCAACTCTGGCTGGGGCATGCCTTAAGTTTTAGCAACCATTCTCAACTCACCCCTCCCTCAATTCACCTGTGGTCTCTCTGCCATTGGCCTCATTCTTCTCCTCTGCCACCTGTGGTTCTGTGACAGCATCTCCATTTTCTTCATGTCCTTTTCTGGGCCGCTGTCGAGCTTTGGCAGCCTCCTTCTTTTTGGCTGCCTTCTTCTTGGCCAGGTCGGAGGGCATGATGATGACCCACAGGGGTAGGTTAACTGTTCTTTCAGGGTGCCTGAAGGAAGGCAAACAGACACCCCCAAACTCTAAACTTACTAGTAAGAATGCCTGGGCCCTGCTCCATCCCTCTCAGGAATCTTCCTGTCACTATCAAGCCTCTGATGCCCTGGCCTGCCCCTGCCTCGTCTCTCCCAACTTGGTCAGGGTCTCTCAAACCAATGCCGATTCTCAGCCGCTCTTCTAATCTTAACATCTTTTTCCACAGGCACCAGTCCCCCACGAACTGCCTCACTTTGGAAACGCTCCTTCTTTCAGGGCCTCCGGCTGGGGACCAGGTTCTGCCCCTCAGCGGAGGTCCCCGTCTCTGGTTTCCCTACAACTTCGCGCTCGGCACTCAGCTGGCCGCCTCACTTTCCGGGCTTCCTTCTCCCGTCCGTCTCGGGCCTCTTCTCGGTCGTCCCTCTCCACATCACCCGGCTGCAGAACCCAGCCTCTTGCCGGGACGCACTCGTCCTCGCCCGCGTGAGTCCCCTCCGAGTCTCCACGCTCGTCACCCCGGGGTACTCCCCCACCCCGCCCGTGAGGTTCTCTCCCTGAGCTCTATCTTTCCCCTCGCAGAAACCTCCATCCAAACCCCGTTCCTCCTTCCTCTTCTAATCCTCTTTCCACATCACCGGCGGGCACCCTCTCCCTACAGCGCCCCTTCCCCTAACTCACTGGGCCTTGCTGCTCGGCCTCTGTCGCAACAGAGCTGCTCCTTGGGCTCCTCCGCGTGCGGCCGGCTCACCAGCCAATCACGACCTCGGGTGGTTCTCGGCGCGCCGCCGCGCTGCCTCCTGGGAAGTGTAGTCCTCAAGTTGCAGCGGCCAAGAGTGAGACCCGGCTTCAGGACTACTACGTATCCCAGAGACCTCGTGGGGCCGCGTGACGCCATCAGGATGCGCGAGGCTCGGGGAAGGGGCGGGATTAGAGTTCAAGAGCTCTCTGCTAGCGGGCCCACTTCGGACGCTGGAAACTGCAAATCCCAGGTTGCTCGTCGGATTAGCCGGCTGAGCCTTCCAGGCTTACCCCACCTCTCGAAAATCGATTGAGCTGTTGTGGAGTTACGAGTTTTTAGAGCTACCTAACCGACTCAGGCAGCAGGGCGTGCAACTACACTTCCCAGCTTGCCTCAGCGGGAGTAGGTCGAAACAATGGGAGAGGAGAGGTGGGAGGTGAGCGGAGAAGGACTGAAATGAAGGGGACGCTGGGCAGGGGTCCCGGAAAGCGGGGCATCCCTGCGAAGATGTTGCCAACGGAATTCCTTCACGAAAGAAAGCGCCTTGGTTTCATGAAACCGTAATTTTAGAGGCTGGTTCATTGTTAAACTTTTAGAAGGTGCCAGACGTTGTTTTGGAACGTTGGCCGCTTAGCCTACCCACTCCAGAATTGTTAGGTTTCCACTGAAGCCATGCAAGTTTCGTGGAAAGAGCCCTGAGATAAAAAGGCTCCTTGGCCGAGATTCGTTTTGTTATTAGTTAGCCATGCTACGGGCCCGTTACTTTCCCTTTGAGTCTCACTGTTTAAAATCTCTCACATGACATTTTGGGCTGGATGGTTTAAAAATAAGTACAATCGCTCACGGACTTCACCTTACCTACATTGTACACTCCAAATGTTTAGCCTCAAGTACAAGGCAGGCCCGTTGTGATCTTTGTTACTTCTCCAGGTTCCTGTGCAGCAGGAGCCTCACAATCAGTGATACTTGGGGAAGCAAAGGAAGCTATTGCTGCCCGTGAGCATATTCTCCAAATGCGGCACCTTTTCGCCCACAGTCCGTGACTCAAAAAGTGAGAACTAGTTTTTCTTCTCAAACTCAAATGCTTTAGTAGAACTTACCTACTTAAATAGTTCGGAGATTAACCATGCTATTTTACACCTGCATGCCTTTGAACATACATTTTCGTAGAATATCCTCCACCAACGAAGTGCCTACTCTCTGTCAGGCTCAGATATGTGTGCTGGAGTTGCGATGGTGCAAAGTCACTCCCTGACCTCAAGGAGCTCATAATGCATAAGGAACATGTGAAAAGTAAACAAGCTGGGTGGGGTGCCTCACACCTGTAATCCAAGCACTTTGGAAGGCTGTGGTGGGAGGATCACTTGAACCCAGGAGTTCAAGGCTGCAGTGAGCTATAATCAAACCACTACACTCCAGAATGAGTGACAGAACTAGACCCTGTCTTTAAAAAAAGAAGAAAAACAACAACAACAACAAAAACAGACCTTGACACCATGACATTAAGTGCCCTAAAAGAAGTGACTTTTGTGTGTTGCTGGGGTACCTAGGTGGAGACCTCACTTGACATCGCATAATTAAGAGCATAACCCCAGTTCTACGCTTCATTGTGTGGCCTTGGGCAAAGTATATGTTCTCCTCTGCAAAATGGGAATGATAGTTACAAAAAGAATACAGTTAAATGACTGCAAACCCCTTCTGTATGAAGCAAAGGAGTTATGATTGTAGATCACATAAAAAGCACTCATTTGGCCAGGCGTGGTGGCTCGTGACTGTATTCCCAGCACTTTGGGAGGCGGAGGTAGGTGGATGTTTTGAGCTCAGGAGTTCAAGACCAGCCTCGGCAACATGGCAAAGCCCTATCTCTATTAAAAAATATATACATATACAAAAATTAGCCAGGCGTGGTAGCACACACCTGTGGTTCCAGTTACCCAGAAGGTCGAGGTTGCAGCGAGCCGAGATCGTACCACTGCACTCCAACCTGGGCGACAGAGCAAGACCCTGTCTCAAAAAACAAAACACAACAAAAAACACAGATTCAAGTGCCTGTGCCTCCTGGGAGAAATATGCTTCTCCTTTCCCAGCCTCGTTTAAAAATGTGGTTTACAGAGAACAATATTTATTATGCTCTTTCATTTATGCCATCACATTAACCTCCCCCCGCCACCGCCAACAAACTCTGAGGTGAGTATTATTACCATTTTACAGATTAGGAAACTAAGGTGACAAGCAGCTCTGGGCAGCTCTGTTGCCTAGGCTGGAGTACAGTGGCGTGATCATGGCTCACTGCAACCTCAACCTCCTGGGCTCAAGCGATCTTCCCATGTTGGCCTCCCAAGTAGCTGGGACTGCAGACAAGTACCACCATGCCTGGCTAATTTTTGTGTGTGTGTGTGTTTTTTCTTTTTTTTTTTTTTTTTCAGAGATGAGGTTTTGCCATGTTGCCCAGGCTGGTCTGGAACTCCTGGGTTCAAACGATCTGCCAAAGTCACTTTGGCCTCCCAAAGTGCTGGGATTACAATCCCAGGCATGAGCCACTGCACCTGGCTACAATTTTAAAATTTTCTTATAGAGATCATGTCGTCCTATGCTGCCCAGGCTGGGGTCAAACTCATGGGCTCAAGAGATCCTCCTGCCTCAACCTCCTGAAATGCTGGTATTACAGGTGTGAGCCACCATACCTCCCCCCCTGCCCACCCCGCCCTGGGTTTAGCCAGAGGAAAGAACTGGGGATGAGGGGAGAAGAAATAGGGAAAGAGAAATGGGAAAATGGGGGAGAAAAGGAGATGAGTAAAGAGAGATAAGAAAAGGACTGGCTAAATTTGAAAAAAATCACAGCAGGTCAGTGCTGGAAACAAGAACATTTGGCTTAGATTCTGTTTAAATTACAAAGAAATGGAGACCCAAGGAAGGAAATGTCTCTTGGAGAATTACCTAGGAACTTAGTAACTGAAAAGGATCTGGACCTGCACTGTTGAATATGGTAGCCTCCAGCCATACATGGCTATGGAGCACTTGAAATGTGGCTAGTCTGAATTGAGATTTGCTGTTAAGTGTAAAATACACATCAAATTTCAAATATTCCGCATAAAAAATGTAAAGTATCTCATCAATATTTTTTCATATTGACTACATGTTGAAATGATTTGGATATATTTAATAATACAATAAAATATTAAAATTAATTTTACCTTTTTTTAACTCTAAGAAATGTGGTTACTAAAAAATTTTAAACAACATATATGGCTCACATTTGTGGCTTGCACTAGATTTCTACTGGACAGCGCTGGTCTAGAAATCTTCTGACCTTGGAGATCGAGACCATCCTGGCTAACCCGGTGAAACCCCGTCTCTACTAAAAAATACAAAAAACTAGCCGGGCGAGGTGGAGGGCACCTGTAGTCCCAGCTACTCGGGAGGCTGAGGCAGGAGAATGGCCTGAACCCAGGAGGCGGAGCTTGCAGTGAGCTGAGATCTGGCCACTGCACTCCAGCCTGGGCGGCAGAGCGAGACTCCGTCTCAAAAAAAAAAAAAAAAAAGAAATCTTCTGACCTTGAGCTAAGTGTCTCTGCTGTTTCCCAGAGTCTCTTCCAGCAAGTCATTTACCACCTACCACGTGCCAGCTGATGAGAAAAGATTCAGTTGCAGTCTAAGGATGAGACTAAAACAGGGATAACACGTGCTGATAGGCAGTATATCAGTGACTTCTATCTTATATACTCCTAGAATGGTATATATATAAGATATACATACAAGATATTCTTGAGTGGTTCTTAACTTTACCAGCCCCAATGTTCCATTTTAATAACATTTTTACAACTCCCCATTTACTATTTTGAAATGAAGTTTATAGATGGTATAGCCTAACTACATACATAATTTCAACAAAATTATAGTGTCTGAATCAAAGCAGAAAGAAGAAATAAAAGGAAATCCTTTATAATAAGATAATACTTTTATTTCAGTATGCTAGAAAGCATAATTAGTCAGATGCTTGTATTTATGCATAGGAGCACCTTGACTGTGGCAGTGCAAATGCAGACTTGCAGACCGAACGCTATGAGTAACACTGCTATCAGTGACACAGTTCTCCAAAATGGTAACTCTGAATAAATTCCTGAACACAACAAAGTATAATCTTCCTTCTGTTAACATGGTGGTTACGTTCCTTAAAAATTCAGCACATTTCACACCCCTACAAGATTACTTTGTTTTTGTATGTAAGACACAGGCACATTAGATGATTATGACCAGTGTTTTCCTTTTTTTTTTTTTTTTTTTTTTTTTAACCTATATGAATGTTCAGTAGGACATGTGAAAGCTGTGCAGGATCAGGACAGTTTTCTTGTGTGATACTATCTTGCAACGTGCAAGACACGGAGCGTCCTTGGCTCCTCTCCCCCAGTCATTTGACAACAAAATTGCCCCGTACATTTCCAAATTGCTCCTTAGGGAGAGTGCCATTCTGGTTGGGGAACCACTGTGGTGGTCCGAATGCCCTAGCTGTTCCCTGTTCCCCAGCCTTACTTTGGGCTGTTCTCCCCTCACCAGGCTCTAAGATCCCCTGGACCTTCCCAGTTCTTCTCCAAGCCAATCTCTTTCTTCTCTCGGGACATTCCGGTGCTCTTTTCTTTGCCTGGAAAACTGTCCGCTTCATGTCTGGATAACTCTTCCTGAACCATTGGACCTCAGCATTACCAAATTCCCAATCTAATTTAATACTTTCTGTTTAGTTTTTCCACAGGACTCTGTGCTTTTCTGCAGTGGTACTTATCACAGATTGGGATTTCTACCTGGTTTATTCTTGCTATGTCAAGTGTGTTTATTACCTGTCTCCCTCAACTTACAGTTCCCTGAGAGCAGGGACCATGCCCATCTCGTCCACCACTTGTTTACCCAGCACTCACGAAGATGCCCGGAACTTAGGTACGTGTCTGGCAAACAACAAACATTTCTTAGGCAACTGAAAGGCTGATGGGATTCCCCAGCCAATTGGGAGAAAAGCGCTCTCGAGGGTGGGGTATGCTTTTTCCAGGACTGATAGGGTTCAGCCCAAGCTACGGGGCAGCTTTGGTCCACTCTGGATTTGCCTGGATTCACCTATGTGGGGGCGCACGCGTCTTACTGAGGGGCTGCCGGCTGGGGCCAGGCAGCCCGCATCCTGGCCGAGGCTGCTAAGCGCTGTGCGGTTAAGCCGCGGGAGCGACCATAGAGAGCGCGCGGGCGGAGCGAACGGCCGGATGCGGTCACCATAGAGACGGGTGACTGACAGGCAGCGGAAGAGGAAGCTGCGGACAGGGGCTGTGAGGTGGCAGCGGCTGCAGCGGCGGAGCCGGCGCCTCAGCGGGAACTGGGGTCTGTTCCCCCTTCCCCGTCCCTGTTCCCTGCCAGGCGGGTGTAAGACGCCGCTCTTGGTCCCCACGCCTCCGCCCCGCCCCTTCCCTGGACGCGGGAGCCCCTGGCCGTCCTTTATCCGGCGTCCGCCGGCCCCGGGCCCTGAAACCCGGGCCCCCTCCCCGAGGGCCTTGGGCATCCCTCCTGGTCCTGCGCTCGCTGCCTCGGTGCTGTCTCTGGCGCGGCCTCCGCTCCCGCCGACGGGCCCGAGAACGAGGTCTGTGCTCCAGTCTCCCAGCCGCGACCTCCGACCCCGACTCGCAGAACGACCTGAGCTGGACTCCCGAGCCCCCTTCCTAGCAGCCCGGTGACGTGGCCAGTTTCTGTTTTGAGACGAACGGCGAAGACTCGCGTTGGGCCTTCGTTCTAGGGCTAGATTTGGTCTCTGATCGCCGAGAGGTAGAGCAGGGGCTCTGGGACCCCGGCAGGGGTCCTGTCGGAAGCCAGCCGCGCTTCTCTTTGCGTTCCCAGGACCCTGGCGTTGTCTCTAGTTGCTGCTTGTCCTCTGTTTGCTTTTGGTTTGTTTCGTTTGCCCCCTGGGGCCTTGGTAAAACCAGGCACCGAATCGCTTGCACACAGTAGGAGTTTCAGTCCGTGCCTGCTGTCTCCTCAGCAGCTGGGGTTCCGAGGAGAATGCCCTGTAAGATGGCTCCATCGGCCATGGCGCTCCTGAGAGGCTGTCAGTGCTGAGTCACCGATCTACCTCATTCGGGTGGGCAGAACTTGTGTGTGCCATGCGAGTGGCTCCTGACCGCTTTCCTGTAGCCATTGCGTCTCCTCACACGCAGGGAGCAGAGTAGAAAGAGGCTCTGACCCCTTCCCTTGTGCCCGCCGGGCCTGCCGCAGTAGCACGCCTGAGAACCGGTGCCAGAGGCAGGCTCCGGCTCCTCTGTTTGAGGGCTGTTGTTTTGATGGATCGTGTGCTTTTCCCTAACCTCTTATCACTTGCCGTCATCTGTTGACTTAGGCCCAGTCTGCAGATGTGTGTAGTGCTCCTTTTTGGGTTAGCTTTGGCAGTATTGAGTTTTACTTCCTCCTCTTTCTAGTGGAAGACAGACCATAATCCCAGTGTGAGTGACTTTGATTGTTACATTTATTACCGTTTTGGCTGGGGGTTAGATCTGACACCTTCACCTTTGAAGAGCAGGCAGAAGGAGTTGTGAAGACAGGACAATCTTCTTGGGCATGCTGGGCCTGGAAGCCCGCGGGCCTTGCTCTGTCATTGGCCTCACTGACCCCAGGTTCCCTGGTTAAAACTGCAAGCCTACTACTGGCCTGGTACCCATCAATCCATTGATCCTTGGGGCTGTGCCCCTGGGCACCCACCTCGCAGGGCCTACCACCATGCGGCTGAGCTCCCTGTTGGCCCTGCTGCGGCCAGCGCTTCCCCTCATCCTAGGGCTGTCTCTGGGGTGCAGCCTGAGCCTCCTTCGGGTTTCCTGGATCCAAGGGGAGGGAGAAGATCCCTGTGTTGAGGCTGTGGGGGAGCGAGGAGGGCCACAGAATCCAGATTCGAGAGCTCGGCTAGACCAAAGTGATGAAGACTTCAAACCCCGGATTGTCCCCTACTACAGGGACCCCAACAAGCCCTACAAGAAGGTGCTCAGGTGAGAGCAACATGTGTGCATAGTCCCCAGACACTGGCCCTGTTTTGGGCTGGTGTAAATCCTTGCCGCTGCCTTTCCGCTGGCAATTGGCGTCAGGCAACTTGGAGTAATTCTGGCTTATTTTCCATCATGGTTTCTTCCTGTTTTTTCCCTCCTTCTCAGGTCTTAGAAAGTCTCACATTCATTGGTGTTAAATTAGGGTTTAATGTTTTTTGTTTGTTTGTGTTTTTTTGTTTTGTTTTGAGATGGAGTCTTGCTCTTGTCACCCAGGCTGGAGTGCAGTGGTGCAATGTTGGCTCACTACGACCTCTGTCTCCCGGGTTCAAGTGATTCCCCTGCCTCAGCCTCCCGAGTAGCCGGTATTACAGGCGCATACCACCATGCCCAGATAATTTTATATTTTTAGTGGAACCGGAGTTTCTCCATGTTGGTCAGGCTAGTCTTGAACTCCTGACCTCAGGTGATCCGCCCGCCTTGGCCTCCCAAAGTGCTGGGATTACAGGCGTGAGCTACCGCGCCCAGCCAGGGTTCGATGTTCTTGAACAGAGTAGGAATTGTATCTAACCTATCTAGTCTATCCATAGTAGACACCCTCCCTTCCCAAATCAATTCCAGTGTCAGCTACTTAGTGGATACTCAGTTGAGTACCTAATTAATATTGACAAGGAAGGAGGTTTCTCCCTTCTCAGCCTCAGCTCACTCACTTCTAGAGGGGGATGTATATACTGAACAAGCTGGGTTCCTAAAGATTAGGGAGTTGACCCCTGGCACACCGGTCTCTCCACAGGACTCGGTACATCCAGACAGAGCTGGGCTCCCGTGAGCGGTTGCTGGTGGCTGTTCTGACCTCCCGAGCTACACTGTCCACTTTGGCCGTGGCTGTGAACCGTACAGTGGCCCATCACTTCCCTCGGTTACTCTACTTCACTGGGCAGCGGGGGGCCCGGGCTCCAGCAGGGATGCAGGTGGTGTCTCATGGGGATGAGCGGCCTGCCTGGCTCATGTCAGAGACCCTGCGCCACCTTCACACACACTTTGGGGCCGACTACGACTGGTTCTTCATCATGCAGGATGACACATATGTGCAGGCCCCCCGCCTGGCAGCCCTTGCTGGCCACCTTAGCATCAACCAAGACCTGTACTTAGGCCGGGCGGAGGAGTTCATTGGCGCAGGCGAGCAGGCCCGGTACTGTCATGGGGGCTTTGGCTACCTGTTGTCACGGAGTCTCCTGCTTCGTCTGCGGCCACATCTGGATGGCTGCCGAGGAGACATTCTCAGTGCCCGTCCTGACGAGTGGCTTGGACGCTGCCTCATTGACTCTCTGGGCGTCGGCTGTGTCTCACAGCACCAGGTGACAGCTCTTTCAAGTCATTCCCGGTCCCTGATAAGCTAGTGGGGGATGAGTGATTAGCTTTCCTCCCAGCAGCACCTTGGAGGCCATTGTTCCTCCTTCCTGGCCACTGACTGCCCCCGTGGGCCCTCTGTTGCTCACCTTTGGCAATCTGAGAACCTGGGGCTATCAAAAGTGGTACCTTGTTAGGAACCCGTAAGCAAGACCAAAGGGTGCTCCTACTCACCAGTCCTTCTCCCCTGCCCCCCTGCCCTCCACACCTCTCCCGATATCAGCACTTCAGTTATGGCAATGTGGGCATGTCTTAGAGATGGCTACTCCCCAGAGAAGTGAGGTGATCACTTTTCCAGCCCAGAGAGCTGCCCTGTTTATTGTCCCGGAGAAGAGTGGAAGAACCCAGAGGTGGCTCATCCTCTCAAACCAAAGTATTGGGAAGATTTTCTGGCTTACTTCTTTCATTCCCTTGAGGAACAATGGGACTCTTTGGGGGAAGAGAGTATCCTTATTACTTTCAATATGTTATTTGTGTGACGGCGCCTTGCAGAGCAGGGCTAGCCCATAGACAGTGCACTGAGAGTAGCCGAGAGTGTCCTTAGTTGCCTACTTACTTTCTACTTTCCAAAATGTGGGCAGTGAAAGAACTGGGGTTAAGCGAGGTGCTGGAAAGGGTGCCTCCTCTGTCCTCTGTTCTAACGCAGCAGTGCTAACAGACGTGAACACTGAGTATGGTTAAGGGCGGTTTGGGACTGGCAGCTTTTGTGTGTGTCATTGATTGGTCTGATTGTCCCTCTAGGGGCAGCAGTATCGCTCATTTGAACTGGCCAAAAATAGGGACCCTGAAAAGGAAGGGAGCTCGGCTTTCCTGAGTGCCTTCGCCGTGCACCCTGTCTCCGAAGGTACCCTCATGTACCGGCTCCACAAACGCTTCAGCGCTCTGGAGTTGGAGCGGGCTTACAGTGAAATAGAACAACTGCAGGTGAGCTGAAGAGGAGCAGGTGGGCAGAGGACTGCAGTCAGAGGGTCAGAGAGAGCCTGAGATGTCCAGGCGTACAATGAGCGAGCAGCTGGCAGTGGGGCTGGTCTAGGCCCTGTATAATGGCAGGGCAGGAAGAGGCTGACCATACTTGCATTTAAAACAACTACAGGGACAAAGGTCTTTGGGGGTCCAAAGCAATCATAAGGTAAGCTCCCAGGACAACGTGGATGCAGCTAAAGGGGTTTGCAAGTAGACTCTGAGGATCAGGAAGCTCCGCACAGTGTTCAGACAGAATAGTTTTAGCTCTTCCTCAATAGTGCCTGTCCACTGGGGAGGCAAAAACTCTGAAGTTCCCTAACTTCTAGAACTGTCCCAAGAAAGCCCAAGGGTGGAAGGTAGAATTCTCAAGTTGAATGTCGGGGTTGGCAGAGGTGGAGTATAGATGAAAACAAGGGTGTGATTATGAAGAAGATGTGAGTCCTTTGGGTATGGGAGAGAAAGGCTGTTGAGCTTCTATTTCAAGATATTTTTACCTGTGCAAAAAGCACATTTTCCACCTCCTTCTCATGGCATTTGTGTAAGGCGAGTAGGATTCCTGTCTGTTTGCATTTTAGAGGTGAAGAATAATGTACAAGGGATTCAGTGATTAGCGAGGGACCTGTCACTAAGTGTTGATGGAGTTGGGACAGAGCTCAGCTGTTTGAATCTCACAGCCCAGGCAGCTGGAGCTGGCACTAACTTGAGGCGCATTCCCTCCAACCCAGGCTCAGATCCGGAACCTGACCGTGCTGACCCCTGAAGGGGAGGCAGGGCTGAGCTGGCCCGTTGGGCTCCCTGCTCCTTTCATACCGCACTCTCGCTTTGAGGTGCTGGGCTGGGACTACTTCACAGAGCAGCACACCTTCTCCTGTGCAGATGGGGCTCCCAAGTGCCCGCTGCAGGGGGCTAGCAGGGCGGACGTGGGTGATGCGTTGGAGACTGCCTTGGAGCAGCTCAATCGGCGCTATCAGCCCCGCCTGCGCTTCCAGAAGCAGCGACTGCTGAACGGCTACCGGCGCTTCGACCCAGCACGGGGCATGGAGTACACCCTGGACCTGCTATTGGAATGTGTGACACAGCGTGGGCACCGGCGGGCCCTGGCTCGCAGGGTCAGCCTACTGCGGCCACTGAGCCGGGTGGAAATCCTACCTATGCCCTATGTCACTGAGGCCACCCGAGTGCAGCTGGTGCTGCCGGTCCTGGTGGCTGAAGCTGCTGCAGCCCCAGCTTTCCTCGAGGCCTTTGCAGCCAATGTCCTGGAGCCACGAGAACATGCGTTGCTCACTCTGTTGCTGGTCTACGGGCCACGAGAAGGTGGCCGTGGAGCTCCGGACCCATTTCTTGGGGTGAAGGCTGCAGCAGCTGAGTTAGAGCGACGGTACCCTGGGACGAGGCTGGCCTGGCTCGCCGTGCGAGCAGAGGCCCCTTCCCAGGTGCGACTCATGGACGTGGTCTCCAAGAAGCACCCTGTGGATACTCTCTTCTTCCTCACCACTGTGTGGACGAGGCCTGGGCCCGAAGTCCTCAACCGCTGTCGCATGAATGCCATCTCTGGCTGGCAGGCCTTCTTTCCAGTTCATTTCCAGGAGTTCAATCCCGCCCTGTCACCACAGAGATCACCCCCAGGGGCCCCGGGGGCTGGCCCTGACCCCCCCTC